GATGACGAGGACGAGGACGAGGACAAGGACGAAGAAGAGGACGACGACGAGGATGAGGACGACGGCCGTCTCTGAAAGTCTCAAGGGGCCCTCGGAGGCCTAAGGAGGTCTCTGGAGACCTCTGGAGGCGTCTGGAGGCCCTTCGAGGCACTCGACGACGACGACGACAACGACGAGGAAAGCGGGGACGACGACGACAACGCCGACGCCGACGCCGACGCCGATGGCGACCACGACGACGATGAGGAGGAGGACGACGACGACGACGGGGACGAGGACGACGATGACAACGACTAAAGCGACGACGACGATGACGACGAAATCGACGACGGCAACAATGACGACGGCGACGACGGCATCAACGACAAGCACCTCAGTAGGCTGCGAGCATCACAATGACAGTGTTGGAGGCGCACCACGGGGGGGGAAGGGGGAGAGATTCGCCTTTTGGGGGGGGCGGGAAAGGCAACCGCTGGTTTCGCCCGGGGCTGGGTTTCGCCCGGCTGGTTTCGCCCGGCGCTGGTTTCGCCCGAGCTGGTTTCGCCCGACGCTGGTTTCGCCCGGGCTGGTTTCTCCCGGCTGGTTTCGCGGCTGCTGAGGAAGGTGAGGGAGGAGGAGGAGGAGAGGAGGAGGAAGAGGAGGAGGGGAGGAGGGGGAGGAGAGAATGACGAGGATGATGGGGGGGGGAGGAGGAGGAGGAGGAGGAGGAGGAGGAGAGGAGGAGGAGGAGAGGAGGGAGGAGGAGGAGGAGGAGAGGAGGAGGAGTGAGGAGGAGGAGGAGGAGGAGGAGGAGGAGGAGGAGGAGGAGGAGGAGGAGGGAGGAGGAGGAGGAGGGAGGAGGAGGAGGAGGAGGAGGAGGACTAGGAGGAGGAGGAGGTGGGAGAAGGGGGGAGGAGGAGGTGGCTGAGGACGGAGGGAGGAGGGAAGAGGTAGGGCCGCTGGACCCGACCCGACCCGACCCCCCCGTTGGGGTCCGCCCGTCCCGACCCGACCCGACCCGCCCGTTAAGGTCCGCCCGACCCGCCCGTTAGGGTCCGCCCGACCCGACCCGACCCGCCCGTTAGGACTCTCGCGTGCCCACTCGATTATGCACCACATTTTAATGTCCCGCGAAGCCAGCGGGGCGAAACCAGCAGGGCGAAACCAGCGCCGGCGAAACCAGCGTCGCGCGAAACCAGCCCCGGCGAAATCAGCCCCGGCGAAACCAGCCCTGGCGAAACCAGCCCGTGCCGGGCGGGAAGGGGGGCATAGCGCGCGTTGTGGCCGAGAGGGTTAAAAAGACACGCCCTACTGCGCTGAACCCAGCAACCACGGTGTGTGTGTACGCATCCACCCCGAAAGTGCCGATGAATGCGGCGACAACCAGCGCGCCCTATAGACGCTTGTGGCTAGAAACCGCGACATGTAGGTGACACAGGCCCGAGACAAGTGGTCTCCTGAAAGCAAATAGAGTTGGCTCTCCAAACCATCCCATCGAGGGCACCCCAGCTGGAACCTGGCGCTCCGCGAGGGTGCCACGCCCGAGGGCGCCGCGCCTACGCACTCAATGGCACCCATCCCAAGCGCTCACACCCGACTTCCGCGCAATCAGAGGAACAACAAACGAATACAGTGGAGGCCAGTCCACAAGAAACCTTCCACAAGCAACCCAACCCTGAGACCCCAGGACGTCCATTGATTTTTGGTGTGGAAACGTCGCGCTCTCCACAGCAGAACCATCGAAACCCAAGAAACCCATGGCACCCTGGAAGCAAGCAGGGTGTTTCTTGGCATGGGCCTCCACTGTACTACATACGTACATTAGAACAACAAGCAATGTTTGCATGTCCACGCTGTGTTCACGCTGTTTTCTCGGATCTGTGCTGTATAGCCCTGGCGGCGCCTCCGGCGCCACCACTGGCGCGCTCCGCGCGCGAGGGAGGGGGATCCAACTCAGGTCCAAGAAGTCCGCGTGGACTGTCGAACATTTATGTTTTTGCAGCCATTATTTCCCCATTCCTCTCACAAGGCCCCCAGATGCCCCCAAAAGTCTCAGCATACGCGTCACACGGGGTCCCCGGAGGCCTTCGAAACTCTGAGGCCCGGAAATGGAAAAGGCACGGACTCTCTTATCTATTATCCTCCTCCTCTTCCTCCTCCTCCTTCCCCTTCCCCTCCTCCTCCTCCTCCTCCTCCTCCTCCTTCTCGCACGTAACCAGCCCCTCCTCCTCCTCCTCCCCCTCCTCCTCCTCCTCCTCCTCCTCCTCCTCCTCATCATCATCATCATCATCATCAGCATCATCATCCGGCCTTGGCGCGCCGCGCTGCCCGCGGCGATGGCGCGCTCGGGCGAGCCAGCGCCACCCCGAGGGGGAGGCCCGAATATTTTGAATGTTGCTAACCGTTCTTGGACATTGCTGGACTGTGCCTTGATGCCTTCCTTTCTTGAAACATCGCCCCCCTATTATTCCTGACTGTTCGTGGATATCTTCCTCCCGTCGCGAGATACGCCCGACTTGACAGCCCCTGCGCTGCACCGAACAGCGACGCGCGGGGACCGACAGCGGGCCCGCAGCGCGAGCGACGCGAGGGCCGCCCAGGGCGGCGGCACCGCCCCGCCGCGAGCTGCTCGGGCCCCCGGGCAGCGGCCACGCCGCCGCGGCCGCTGGCCGCAGCAGCGGCTCGGCCCACGTGGCACCACTGTCGGGTCGGGCGACCTGGGGGGATAGCAAAGGGGGGGGGGTGAGAATCAGCTCACGTAGCTGATTTTCCCGGCGCCTCCCGGCGCCGGAGGCGGCATGTATCGAGGAATGGGCCCCTCGGTGAGGCCGAAAGAAGCTGCATGCAGCAAATTTCGTAACCCCCCCTTTCCCAATCCCCCCCTTTCGCCCGACCCGACACTGGCTTCCATCGGTCCACATGGCACCATGGGACGCACAGAGCTAGAATAAAAGCGCTGGGGGCCTTCCCTCAAACACAAAGTGCGCAGAGGTGCACAACGGTGCGCAAATGTGCCCCCTCGAGTATGCACAAGGTGCGCCGAAGTGTCGTTGCGCGATGCTCCCTCATCGTTATACAGAACTGTGGTTCACTGTTTCCAAGGACGAACGTCCATTTGAAAATCGGCTCCCATGAATTGCTATCGAACCGGAGACATGCTGATACTATATGTCCTCCTTGGAGGCGCGTGCCCGACCCGAACACATAGCATACCCATCTTGTAGTGTACCGTTTCCCGAGCGTCGTGGCCGGAAAGCGCACGCCACGACGCATATACCAGAAGACTTCTCGGTGCGCGCGTCGCCCCTGGGGGGGGGGCGACGCACATGTAGCATAAGAATGCTGGGGTGACGCCAGCACCACGTGCTTCCGATGCGTGGGGCAGGGCTGCACCTCAACGGTCTTCTTTGTTCTCGTTCTGTTTTCGTTCTCCCTCGTGTTGTCTTCCGTCCGCCTGTGACGCAGAACGAACTCGAAACGAAGACGGCCCACGAAATCGCCAGAACACCGTCTAGGTCCACCGTCTAGGTCCACGAACGGCGTGGGGCCCGCAGCAAGCGCGGGCAGCTCCCGGGCCACCAAGCCCACAGCTGGCGGCGGGAAGGCGGCCACCGCGCAGGCCGCCGCCACGGCGCGGTCGGCGGCGCGCCGAGGCCGCCCCCGCCGCCCGCCCGGCGGCCAGGGCGGGCCTCGCGGCGCTGGCGCAACGCGTCGCGGCGGCCGCTGAGCCGCCGAGCCGTGCCTCGCGGGGCGCCGCCCGCGCGCGCTGGCCGCGCGGCGGTGGGCGGTCGCCTTCTTGGCGGCAACCTCACCATGGGCCAGAGACTCAAGAGTAAACAGAGTCTCCAGAGTCTCCTCCCCCTCCTCCTCCTCCTCCTCCTCCTCCTCATCCATCATCATCATCATCATCTCAGCATCAGCATCAGGATCAGCATCAGCATCATCATCATCATCATCATCATCATCATCATCATCATCATCATCATCATCATCATCATCATCATCATCATCATCATCATCATCCTCGTCATCATCATCATCATCATCATCATCATCATCATCATCATCATCATCAGCATCCTCATCAGCATCATCATCAACACCATCATCATCATCAGCAGCATCAGCATCAGCATCATCATCATCATCAGATCATCATCATCATCAGCATCATCATCATCCTCGTCATCCTCCTCATCATCATCATCATCATCATCATCATCATCATCATCATCATCATCCTCGTCACCATCATCATCATCATCATCATTATCATCATCATCATCGTCATCATCGTCAGCATAAGCATCAGCATCAGCATCATCAGCAGCATCAGCATCAGCATCAGCATCAGCATCAGCATCAGCATCATCAACATCATCAGCATCAGCATCAGCATCAGCATCATCAGCATCAGCATCAGCATCAGCATCAGCATCAGCATCATCATCATCATCAACAACATCATCATATTCCTTATCTTCCTTCGTATTCATCTTAGTAAAACTCCCATGATCATTATTAGCCCTCTTATTTTCTTTCGCATTATGATTGTCAGTATTGTAAGTATCATCCATATGTTCCCTATTCTTCTGATCACCACCACCATCACCATCATCAGCAGCATCATATGGCACTACCATGAACATATAGCAGAACCACTATCAGCGCCTTCGCCGGCATCCCAGAAGACACCGAAAACCGTCGAACACCGTCTCCTGGGAACTTCCCGCCCCGCCGCGGTCCCTGCGGGTCCCCCCCCCCTCCCGCACCGCGGGGCACCCCTGGGCCGAGCCGGGCCGTTCCTGGCCTGGTCGATCCTGAAAGGTGTCTGCGCACGCCTGGCCGAGCCAGGAAAGCCTGCACACCGAGCCCGGGCCCGGGGCCCAGCAAAAAACGGTGAATTGGTCGGCTGACGTCGCCCGGAATCATTCCATCTGGCTGTCTCTCTATCCCATCCATCCGCGATCAGTGCGCGCGCGGCGCGTCAGCCTGTGCAAGGCATGGCGGCAGCCTCCCAGCTAAGAGTAAATCGTCTGCGTGTTCGGCGGGTACTGAAGGTGGTGCGTGAACTTGTAGGAGTCCGTGAGCAGGATGAGGTTGCTGAACGGGTCGTCGATCATCTTTGCCGCGCCTGTCGCCTTCGTGACCTCGACCTCCTGCGGGCTGCCACGCGGACGGCCGAGGCGGCGGCAGGGGCAGGCGGTGGATGGGTGAGTGGGTGGGGGCGCTCTGTGGGTGGTGGATGGGTGGGCAGTGGGTGATGAGTGGCTCAGAGGCAACTACTGGGAGGTCTTCGTCGGAAGGATTAAGGAGAAAAAGGCCCCATTGGGGGGGGCGACTACGCCGGACTAGGCCGCGGCTTAAGCGGGATTAGACCAGATTATGTCAGATAAAAACCGGACTTCGGACCACGGCAAAGTCAGAATTCCTCCAGCCCTTTAGGGCGTGAGTGGTTTAGAGAGCCCCCTCTGTCCTCAACCCCCCTTCTTCCCCTTCGGGGAGGGGTTTACCCCTCCCCCTACCCCCTCCCCCTGGGCCTGGAGAGGGGGTCCCGCGGGTCGTCAGGGGGGTCAAGTTCGACTCCTGGGAGGGCTAAAAAACGACACCCCTCACGAGGATTCTGCCCCCGACGGGGGGAACGAGAAAAAAACCTCTCCTCTTCTTTGAAGGCAAAATCATTGATTTGACTACGGTTTCGGCCCCATTTTGGCCTTCTGAGGGGGCCGCGCTCCTCTTCCTTCATAGCAAAACCATTGATTTTACGAAAGTTTTGGGCTCATTTTGTCCTTCTCAGGGGGCAGCTCTCATTTGCGCTTCTGAGGAGGTCGCCAGAGGCCCCAAGATGGCCCCAAGAGGCCCCCAGGAGGCTCCCAAGAGGCCTCCAAGAGGCCCCCAAGAGGCCCCCAAGAGGCCCCAAGAGGCCCCCAAGAGGCCCCCAAGAGGCCCCCAAGAGGCCCCAAGGCCCCAAGAGGCCCCCAAGAGGCCCCCAAGAGGCCCCCAAGAGGCCCCCAAGAGGCCCCAAGAGGCTCCAAGAGGCCCCCAAGAGGCCCCACGAGGAGCCCGAACGACTCACACCAGGACGAGGGGCCCGAACGACTCACACCACGAAGAGCCCGAACGACTCACACCACAAGGAGGGGCCCGAACGACTCACACCAGGACGAGGCGCCCGAACGACTCACACCACGAGGAGCCCGAACGACTCACACCAGGACGAGGGCCCCGAACGACTCACACCCACGAGGAGCCCGACGCCCGAACGACTCACACCAGGACGAAGGGCCCGAACAACTCACACCACGAGAAGCCCGAACGACTCACGCCAGGACGAAGAGCCCGAACGACTCAAACCACGACGAAGAGCCCGAACGACTCACACCAGGAAGAAGGACCCGAACGACTCACACCACGACGAGAGGCCCGGAGATATGCGGGGGCAGGCGGAAACACGCCTGAAAAACACGACTGTCGGCATGCTTCGCAAGAGTTGCTGTTTTGAGATGGGCTGGTGGGGATACGCGAAGCGTGAAGAATTTGACCTCCCAGATGCAGCATCCGAAGAGTGGTGGGCGGCGAGTGGTGGGTGGTTAGCTATCGGCCGTTGGCGGGTGATGAAGTGCGACAGCGGTGGTCCTCGGTGGCCAGAAGCGGTGACAGACGGTCACCCTCTTCCTCCAAATGGCGGCGAGCCCAGGGGGGACATGGGAAGGGGAAGGGCTTCTCGGAATGCTCGGAAGTCCCCCGGCCGTCTGAGAAGCTCGCTCCCTCCCCGAAGACGCGGCAAGCCTCTCAGAAGGCGCGAGGGCTTCTGAGAAGTCCCGCCGCCATCTGAGAAGGCTTTCTCCTGCTCACTCCTCCCCCTCGCTCGCCGCCGATCCATCTCTGAGGTCGGGCATGTCCCCCATACAGGCGGATTTTGGAGGAAGAATCAAGAAGTGAGGGGGCCGAACGATCATTCATTGCCCCTGGGTGCGTGGCTGAAGTGAGAATCCGTGGTTTGGACTATGCTTGTTGCGTTGTTGTTGCTGCTGCTGCGATTGTTGTTATTGTTGTTGTTTTGTTTTTATTGTTGTTATTGTCATTGTCATTGTCATTGTTGTCGTTGGCGTTGGCGTTGGCGTTGGCGTTGTCGTTGTCGTTGTCGTTGTCGTTGTCGTTGTCGTTGTCGTTGTCGTTATCGTTGTTGTTGTTGTTGTTGTTATTGTTGTTGTTGTTGTTGTTGTTGTTGTTGGTTGTTGAATGTTAATTACTAAACAATTATTATTGTTGGACCCCCCCAAGCGCGGCGTTCTCGCCTCGGCGCCAGATACATTTCCATTGGAAATGAGGCTCCCGCTTTGGGGGGGCGCAAAAGCTGGCCCCCCAACAACAACAACGCTCCCGCTCGAGACTTCCTCTTTTTTTTACTCAGGGCCGATGCTCTTGCTCGCCGCCGAAAGCCGCCGTCCAGAAAAAACAGCGCTCCCGCTCGAGACTTACTCCCGGTTTAGCTTGGACTGGCGCCCTACTCTTTCTCTCATCGGCGCCGTCCCAAACAACAACAACAACAACAACAACAACAACAACAACAACAACAACAACAACAGCAACAGCAACAGCAACAGCAACAGCAACAGCAACAGCAACAATAACAACAACAACAACAACAACAACAACAACAACAACAACAACGCCCCCCCTCGACACTTCCTCCCTTTTTTACTCAAGGCCGGTGCTCCTCCTCGCCGCTGAAAGCCGCCGTCCTAACAAAACCAGCGCTCCCGCTCGAGCCTTCCTCCAGTTTTAGCTTGGACTGGCGCCCTACTCACTTTTGAATTGGCGCTGCTCCCAGCAAGAACAACGCTCCCGCTCGAGGCTTCCTCCCTTTTTCCTCAAGACGGTGCTGTTCCTCGCCGCCGACAGCCCCCGTCCCAACAAAACCACGGCTCCCGCTCGAGGCTTCCTCCCTTCTTACTCAAGGCGGTGCTCCTCCTCGCCGCCGGCAACCGCCGTCCCAACAAAACCAGCGTTCCCGCTCGAGACATCGTTTTGTTTTACGCTCGACTAGCGCCTTGCTATCTTCAGCATTGGCGCCGCTCCCAGCAACAACAGCGGCCCTGCTCGAGACTCCCTCCATTTCTATTCAGGGCCAGGTCCTTGCCTCGCCGCCGACAGCCCCCATCCCCACCAAAGCAATCCTGTCACTCGATACTTCCTTGTGCTTTACCATTGGCTGGGGCTCCACTGGCGGTCTCGCATCGGCGCAGCAAGGCGAGGGCATGTGTTTTCGAGGCGGGATATGTTGGAATTCCTCGGAGAAGGTGTTTGCAAGACCTCATTTAGCGGGAGATCTGGGAATGGGAATAACGGACCCCGCTATAGAACAACACTCCCTCGTAAAGGGGACGGTTATCATGATGGTCGCATGCTTCGTGTGGAAACATCGCGCATGAGGGTAAACGTGTTGGTGTTGCTGTTGTTGCTGTTGTTGTTGATGTTGTTGGTGTTGTTGTTGTTGTTTGTTGTCGTCGTTCCCCCCGCGACCCACCTGCGACCAACCCCGCGACCCGCCCCGCGACCCACCCTGCGACCCACCCTGCGACCCACTCGCGACCAAACCCGCGACCCACCCGCGACCCACCCCGCGACCCACCCGCGACCCACCCGCGATCCACCCGCGAACCACCCGCGACCGCGACCCGCGACCGCGCCCCGCGACCCATCCGCGACCCACCCGCGACCCACCCGCGACCCACCCCGCGACCCACCCCGCGACCCACCCGCGACCCACCCGCGACCGATCCAATTGGTTTGAAGGAAAAATCGGCGCCTGCGGCGGGCTCGTTGTATAATTTGTGAAACTGTGGCGCCTGCGGCGTGCTTCTCCAGAGTCTCGCAGACTGCCGACGTCCCCACCGCCCCCATCACTCTTATCCGCATCCGAGGGGTGCTACGTACAAAAATAATCAGAATATATGCAAAAAGTATGCAACAAAAATCGAATCATCGTCCCCAGATTATCTTTGGACTATTTCTGCGTGTTCCTCCTGTGGAGGGACACGCCCGACTAAATCCAACTCCTCCCCTCCCTCCTCATCTCTGGAATAAGACAGCCAACCCCAACTCCCACCGAGGGCTGCCGGCTGGAAGAGCGACAGTACCCTGCTCCAGCAGGGGTCAGGATGGCTCTGACGATGTTGCTTGTCTTCCTTTTCATCCTCCCCCTCCTGCCCGCTCCCTTCCCTCATCATCATCCAACCTCCTCCTCCTCCTCCTCCTCCTCCTCCTGTGGAGGGACACGCCCGACTAAATCCAACTCCTCCCCTCCCTCCTCATCTCTGGAATAAGACAGCCAACCCCAACTCCCACCGAGGGCTGCCGGCTGGAAGAGCGACAGTACCCTGCTCCAGCAGGGGTCAGGATGGCTCTGACGATGTTGCTTGTCTTCCTTTTCATCCTCCCCCTCCTGCCCGCTCCCTTCCCTCATCATCATCCAACCTCCTCCTCCTCCTCCTCCTCCTCCTCCTCCTCCTCCTCCTCCCCAGTTCGCAAGGACCTCGCCATCGCTCGAAGGTCCATTCCTCGTGCATGTTTCGATGCCGCGCTTGTATTTCTTCACCGGATGATCCTAGACACTACTCGAAGGTCCTCGCCGAAGAAAAGATGCAAACGTCCGAGCGATGCCCAGGGAAGCCCCGGCCGAGCAGCGCGGTGCGCGCGGAGACGAGGCGGGGGCCAGGAGGGGGCAGGAGAAGGAAGGGCTTCGTGAAGCCAGTGGAACACGGCAAGGGTCTGGGAGCCCGTGGAATCGAACAACAAATGAGCGACGATCAAAAACCGGACTTACACGAGATAACGTAGCAACCTTACGCGGTGGCTTACGCGGGCCGCCAACGCCGCACGCTACATTGAAAACGAGGGCGCTTACGCGCGACTTACGCGGGCAGCTTACGCGCCAATGTCGGCGTATACGACCCCGTTTTTGCGCGAACATACACTTTCTCCCCGCGGATTTCTTGGATCTGCGCTGGACGCCTGCGCAATGGCAGGCTGCCCAAACGAGCCTAACCACCGCTTCGTACGTAATCTGCATGGTGGTTGGCCGGGTTTGCAGACAGTCCACGCAGACCCCCCGTCCCGCCAACAACAATATGAAATTACGAAATTGTGGTTACAA